TTAACTATACTATACCACCTAAAAGGGTTCTCTTTGATTGGACATCTGGAAAGAAGAAGGGAAAAGCAGAAGAAGGAGTATCAACATGCTGGGACAGCATGTCTAGAAGGGGGGGTGATGTCAGGGCACCAGCTCATTGCTTGGTCAAGAGACATGACTAAGCCTTTATGACATGGAAGTAGCTGGTATACCTTGGCATGTGCTGGAACCTGCTGGAAGGATTGGATGGTCAGGTGACCTGCTGTGCATGGCTGTGCATGACCTCATATGACCTCATCCTTGGTCATATGACCTGATCACCTGACTAGGCTGAGTAAGCAAGATGTTCTAGCAGGTTCCACCACAGAGGTATAAATATAAGGCCTACTCTGCCTGGGGACTGTCTCTTCAGACTTGGTCTCTTAGGATCATCCACAGGTACCTATACTGTAGATAGGTCTTAGTCATCAGGTCTACTCCACTTCCTTGTTGCCTGCTTAGACTCTTGGCACTCTTAGGTGAGCAGACTTAGTCAGCCTGTGTTGCCCTAACATCCCCTATGTTGTATGTAATTGTGGTTTGTCAGTGTCAATCATAGAATTCGGCCATGTCATCTGCCACCTTTGCCAATGCAGCCTTGCATTTGCTTTTGATTTGCTGCATTGTTCCTGTGAATTCTTTGACTCCTGCAATTGTGACCTCCCATATTGGTTCAATGCCCATTCATGGGTTACATCCTGTGTTGGCCATGAATGGTGAGTGTTGCATTCCAACATGTATACAATTGTTGTATGCAAATTCAGTGCATGCAAGCCAATTGGCCCAATCATCTTGTCAATGGTTTACAAAGAGTTGGAGATACTGTTCCAGTTCCTGGTTGACATGCTCAGTCTGTCTGTTGCTCTGCAGATGGTATGCTGTCAATGCCAATATTTTGATGCCTAAGAGACTGTTGAGTTTGCGCATGTATTTCAATATGAATTGTGTTCCACAATTGCTGATGATCTTGTGAGGCAGTCCATGATTTTGCGATACATTGTCACAAAAGAGATGTGTGATTCCTGCTGACATTACTTCACTTTGTGTTGCAGCAAAGTGAGCATGTTTGGTGAGTCAATCAATGGCAACAAATATTGCACTGTATCCTTTGCTTGCCGGGAGTTGCATTATGAGGTTGACTGTAACAATTTCCCATTGTGCATTTGGGATCTGATTTGGCATGAGGTTTCCAATGGGTTGTTGTGGGTATGTCTTGGTACAATTGCATGCATCACATGTTCAAACATATTCTCCAATGAATTGGTTCATGTTGGGCCACCAGTAGTTATGTGCAACAAGCTCCAGTGTTTTCCAACATCCTGGGTGTCCTGCAATTTGCAAATCATGGTGTAGGCTGACAATTTTGGCACAAAGCACATTGTTCTGTGGAACATATACTTTTCCATGATAGAGCACCAGTCCCTGTTCTTCACTCCATTTGTTTGCAACAATCATAGATGTTTTGTCATTGTGTAGTGCTTTGAGTACTTGTACCACTGGTTTGTCCATGTCATGTGTCTGTCATATTTCATAAAGGAGCCTGTTTTCCTCCCCCACAATAAGGGTGTGTCCCCAATGCACAGCTGCAATCATGAAGACATCTGGTTTGAGCAGTACAACATTTTCATTATCATGTGTTCCATGATTGTGGTCAGCATGTCATGATAGTGCATCCGGTTTTCTGCTGGATCATCCTGGTTGGTGTTTTAATGTATAGTCAAATTGTGACAGGTAGAGTGACCATCATGCCTGTTGTCTTGTGAGTTTCTGCAATTTGGCAAAATATTCTAGATTCTGGTGATTGGTAAGGATGTGTATCTTATCAGGGGTGCCTTCTAGGAAGTGTCTCCATTCTTCAAAGGCACATATGATTGCAAGCAGTTCCTTGTCATGTATTTTGTAATTATGTTCCACATCCGACAGGCTCTTTGACATGAATGCCACCAGATGCCATTCATCATCTGTGTTCAGCTGCAATAAGACAGCTCCAATTGCATAGTCCAATGCATCCACTTCGACTCAGAATGGTCTGTTGTCCTGTGGTAGTGCCAGTATTGGTGCTGATGTTATGGCTGTTTTCAGTGCCTCCAATGCTTGGTTGTGCTTTACTTCCCACATCCAGATGTTGTCTTTTCATCTCAAATTGTGTAGTGGACATGCTATGTTGGAAAACCCATGTATGAAGCATTGGTAGAAGTTACAGAATCCAATGAAACTTTGGATGTCTTTCACATTCCATGGTGTCAGCCATTCAGCAACACCTGCAATTTTAACTGGGTCCATCTCAATGTTGCCTTGACTGATAACGAGTCCCAGGTAATTGATCCTTGTCTGCTCAAAATTGCATTTTTTGGCCTTGAGGTATAGGTGGTACATCCGTAAGACATCAAGCACACATCTTACAATCTGTTGATGTTTGTCCAATGTTTCCATGAATATGAGGATGTCATCCATGTATACCACAACAACTCCTTCATCAATTAGTTCTCAAAATATATTGTTCATCATCATCTGGAATGTGCTTGGCAAGTTGACAAGTCCAAAGAACATGACAAGTGGTTCGAAGAGTCCACAATTTGTGTGGAAGGCAGCCTTCCATTCATCTCCTTCTTGGATCTGAATGTTGTTGTATCCCCAAAGTATGTCTAGTTTTGTGAAGTATTGTGCATGACATAGTTTGTTTACTAGGTCCAAAATAAGTGGGATCAGGTAACAATTCTTGATTGTCATCTCATTCAGTTGTCAATAATCTTGTACCAATCATAGTGTCCCATCCTTTTTCTTTACAAAAAACACTGGTGATGCCATGGGCAATTTTGACGGTCAGATATGTCCACTTGCAAGGTTTTCCTTCAAGGATTCATCCAATTTGTGTTGTTTGTTGGACAATAGTGGGTACACCTTTGTGCTATGTGGCTCTGATCCTGGTTTCAGTTCAATTGCATGATCCCACACCCTCATTTCTGGTGGTTGATTGAACAATTTTTTCGAAAATATGTCTTTGTAGTCATGATAGGCTGTCAGCATGATATCATCAAACATTCTTCCCTGTCAGTCTTCAGCTGGTTGTGCAGCTGCAAGACATGCTGAGATGCTTTTGGCAGCACAAATTATTATTTCATAATCATCATTGTCTGTGCCATCATCTTCCTGTGCTATTGCAGGCAGAGGTCATTTCTGCCATTCTACCTGTTGTTTTGCCATATGTATGTGTATCAAGTACTGTTCCAGGCATCATGTCATCAACACCTTTCCTGTCATCCAGTTGATGTCCGGGTTGTGCTGCACGAGCCACAGATGTCTGATCAATTCTTCCTTGTACCCAAGTCCTGTTATGTGGAATGTTGCACATTCTGTATGTTCTCTGTATCATATGATGAGGTCAACTGTGTGTCAGATCACTCCAGCCTCATTGGGCATTCCATTGACATTGTAGACTGGTTGTGCACATTCCAGCAGCATTGTTGTTGAGTTGTATTCTTCAATGTAGCTCATATCAATGAATAGTCCTGTTGCTCCTGAATTGAGAACTGCTCGTGCCTCAAATTCTTGTGACATGTCCAGTGTTTGCAGTTGTATACTCAGTTCTGTCTGTTGTCGGTCCCAAACCGACATAATCAGTTGTAGAGGGTTGTCTCCTCATGTTGTATTGTCCAGCACCTTCTGCATTTCATATGACACCTGTCCCACAATTGGTTGTTTTGTCAACAAATTGTTATTATGGGAGGGGTGTACATAAGGATCACTTTTACTGGTCACACAAATTGTGCTCTCTTTTGTGGACCATTCTAAAAATCCTCCTTGGACGTCTCAACTGGTGTCATCAGTTCATCTGCTTTTCTTGGAGGACAATGCTTTGCAAACTCTTCAGTGATGAGCTTGCATATGTCATCAAATGCAATTGTCTTGATGTGTCTCAATTGTTTAGGACATTCAGCCCAAACGTGGCTGAACCCTTGGCAGCTGTAGCAGCGGATGGTGGATGTGTTATGTTTCGCTTGGTCAACATCCATTGCATTGTTTGTCTGTATGGTGGAGGTGGTTGTCATCATGGGAGTTGTGTTGTGCGTGGCATCAGTTGATCTGGCTTTCCATCAGTTGGCCATTGCATTGGTTGTTCCCTTGCAATGTGCATCCAGTCGATGCCATTGTTGATCAAATCAGAAAGCATACATATACCACCCTTCAAGAGTTGTGGGCATGTCTGGGAGTGCATAGATTCCGTGGAAGAACGGAAAGAGAGGCCGCGTGAAGAACACGTGACACACGGAAGAAACTACCGGATTAGTCCATTTTCAATAGGTTTGCCCCCCCCAAGGTCCTGGCCAACTACGTTGCCCAGGGATTTTCCACTTGGAACTTGCAACTTATCTCGCCTCCTCGGTGCCACTTTACCCAGCTTGCTACGGCAGAGACAGGTCAAGTGATTTCAATTTCCGGGTTTGGAAACAGTGGAGGTCATCTATTGATGGCCGCTTATATATTTCATAGTCATCTATACCAAAATAAGTTATTGTCAATTTTCTATCTACTAGCATCCTAATCTGACAACCCATTGCTAATGAAGCCTAGAACCCGTACAACGTGGAGCTTGCTTCTTTTTTCATGCGCCTCCATGCATGCGTCAGAGGCGGCTTGGCGAAAAACTAATCGGACCAAGACGTCCGATAACACTTGAACAGAAGAGGCCTGGTGCAGAGTGGGAGTGTACACCATGTGCATTCAAAGTTACGTAACTAGAAAGTCGATGTTTCAAAGGCGATTTGCGAAAGCAGTTGGAAGGCCGGGATATCTGTGTTGTGCGAACGACCACAAGGGCACCGCAAGTGGAGGGACATGAGTTATGTGCGGAAGTGCACAAGAACATCATAAAAACCAGATTTCCATAAATGACAGGATATTTAGCTCGTGTTCGTATAAGAGTGGTACGTAGGATAGGTGACGAGGAACCGCGGATACACCACAAAAAACAAGGAAAAGACAGGGAGCAACGAGAGGTAACCAAGGGTACGACAAACAACGAAAGAGACGTAAGCGAGCGGCGTATATGCAAGAGGGTTATCGTCATATATGTGGTGAAATGTTTGCGTGCCGGTGAACAAGGGTATAAGCAAGAACTTCATAAAGGTACAGTTGGCAGGATCAACGGCCGGACGTGCCGACGGTCCTCCTTCGTTTCGTGCCGAAGATATTGCGCGGGAGCGAACCTCCAGCGAAGAGACCTCCGCCGCCGGAGCGACCGCTACCCTTCGATCGGAAAGACCATGCCGAAGGGGACGCCGGCCGATCTGGAATATCAGGAGGCAGTGGCGGCGCAAACTGTGGCGGGGGTGGGGGGGGTGGCATGTTATGGTTTATGGTACGGTTCTGGAACATCCTGTTGTGATGGTAGTTGTGCATGTGGGGTGGATGAGATGCCAGCGTGCCGACGTCATGCTTGCCATCGCAGCATGCTCGAACATTCTCCAGACCTTCATAACCTTCCTGGGCGTTGACGTCCTCGGTCATTTCGAATGTTTCGTCCGTATAGCTCAGATCCTCCTCCTGATCGTGATAGACTTCCGGATTTACCACAAAAGGTGTGCCTGGCTTCTGGGGACTCTCACTCAATCTCAAGTACTCGGCAGCTGGAGTGCCGGGTCGTTTTCTCGTGGAACCAGTCGACAGCTGAGAATGGCTACGCTTGCCACGTGGGGTATTTGGCATGTTGGGAGCAACATTCCAGCCATGCTCGTTAACAGCTCCTTCATTGCTGATGCTGCGATACGATCTTTGGCTTCTGGGACTCGCAAGACTGGTGCTCTTTATTGGAGTACTGTTGATGGGACCCACGGTCAGGGTTGTATCGTTTCCAGGGTCAGCTTGAGGCGAAAGAGACACGTCCTGCGGACGGGCGATGAGGTACCTCAGGGCCTGATAACGTGTCAGATGGGGTGAAACAATAGACACCCTCAGACATACATTGATCCAAATCTCATGTCTTTCTTTGGTTGGCGCTGTGAATTTCAACTCCCTAGTAGTTGTGGAAACCACAATGCTCTCTTGATGTAGACCAGGTGGCTTTGGGTTTGTGTCCTCCTCAATTCTGACCGACTCGATGTACACTAGACCTAAGGTTCAGAGTATTACCTCCACAGCAGACACTATGACTTACCACTCTTCGCAACAGTTTCGGTCGTGCCCAGGGCCCCGGGGTCCGCATCACTCCAATAGAGTGTCTTTGTGTATGGATGCACCCAGAAGAACTTCTTATTCCTCTCCTTTCCGTAACCTCTTCGTAACGCCTTAGGGTTGTACTTGTACAAGAATTCGCCAATCATAGTTTGCGTGATCGAGTGGATGATGGCCGGATCTGTTGAACTTGGTTGCGGTCCAGATGCATTGGATATCGCTGTACGTTTTCCGGGTGTGCTGGGCGCCTGGGAAGCTCGTGGTGGTGCAGCAGCAAAGTGGACTCTTTCACTACCCATACTGGATAGGGATTGTCGACGCGACGAGCGACTTGATGGCACTAACGAAACTTGAGATTGAGAAGCCTGCCCGTGCCGTGGGGCATCTGGGGGAGACCCTGCCACAGGCGAGAGAGTACTCGAGGGAAAGAGCATAGTGTTCGGACTCTTTGACGACTTGAAGCTACCAGTCGAGGGCACAGAGCGTAGCGTTGGTGGAGGTGCGGACCCTGATGGACGAAGACCACTTCGCGGGGGGGCCAGCATGCCGGATGCAGAGGCTCCGAAAGTCGGTGACGTAGCGCGGGCAAGTAGTTCAGGAGGAGGGGGAGAAGTGGGTCGAGGAGGTGGTTGTGGCTTGGCGAGTGGCATTGAGCTGGGGGGCGGGAGCGGCGGTGGGGGTGGCAAAGACATTACTGGAGGCTTGCTCCGGTCGAGGATGACACTTGGTGTGGTGCTTGTCTTATTACCGACCGCCTTTTCCATCGCGAATACAGACTCAATGCTCGGTGTGCGCTTGCTGGCCATTCTTTCACCATTGCTATGCAGAGACGCGGGCACAGCAGCAGACGTGGCATTCGAAGGACGGGAGACCGGAAGTGTGAGTGACGTTGTACTCGCGGATGCAGCGGACATGGCCTGGGGCATGCTGGGAACAAACGTCATCTGAGACTTTGGCCCAACCAAGAACAATCCCCTTCCGCCTGTTGCAGGCAGATTCTCCAGAACAGGGGACGGCAACGGGGGCACCCATTCGTCCGTCTGGACCTCTGCTTCGGCCATCTGTCGCTTTGGCTCGGGTTCCGGTTCAGACTCAGTTATGGCTGGTTCATAGATGGCATCGATCGGACCTCTTCGAGTCCCACCTTCCCGGCGCCGAGGCATTGGACGTATACTCTCAGCATACTCAGTGCCATCCTCATCCTCATCTTCGTCATCTGCGGCGTTACCCAGCAGGTCCCGACTGTCTCCTCCTCCGCTGACAGAATAGAATTCTTGGGTTGGTGTTGCGGTAGCCACGCTGCGGGCGTCAGCGTATTCTTCATCTGTTGTAGATGACATTGATGTAGAAGGTCGCTGGTTCTCTGTGGCAGTCGTGTAGCCATCATCGCCTGTGTCAGTATCGGTGCGTGATGCAGGTGGTGCAAAGCCCCGCGGGGTCGGTGACACTTGCGGCTGAGATGGCACAACCCTAGGCGTGGTGGGTGGTGTTCTAAAGACGATCTTCTCCACGATCTTCTCCACGATCTTCTCCACGACACGGTCCACCGGTACCTCGATGCGCTTCTCCACCTCCTTGATAACTTCCACAGGAACTTCGACTCGCTTCTCCACCTCGCGGATAACTTCCACGAGTACCTCAACCCGCTTTTCGATCTCCTTGATGACTTCAACAGGCACATCCACTCGCTTCTCCACGATACGCTCCACTTCAACGATCTTTTCAACGATGCGATCGATTGGCACTTCAACGCGTTTCTCGACCTCCTTGATCGTCTCAATAGGGACCTCAACGCGTATCTCGACCTCCTTGATAACCTCAATGGGGACTTCTACACGTTTTTCCACCTCTCGGATGACCTCGATGGGAACCTCAACACGCTTCTCAACGATTTTCTCCACAGGTATCTCCACGCGCTTTTCGACTTCTCTAATGACTTCAACAGGGATTTCGACGCGCTTCTCCACCTCTTTGATCACCTCCTTGATGATCTCGACAGGGACTTCGATTCGCTTTTCGACAACACGTTCCACGGGGACCTCAACATGACGATCGACGATCTTCTCTACCGGGACTTCGATTCGTCTCTCGACTTCGACGGGAACCTCCACGCGTTTCTCGACGATCTTTTCGACGGGAACCTCGACTAGCTTCACGACCTCCCTGATAATCTCAACCGGGATCTCCACACGTTTCTCAACCTCCTTGATGACTTCAACAGGGATTTCCACGCGCTTCTCAACCTCCCGGATGACCTCGACCGGCACTTCTTTGATCTTAACAACTTCCTTCTCGACGACTTTCTCCACGGGCACTTCAACTCGCTTCTCTACTTCACGAATCACCTCGACTGGAACTTCAATCCTGGTCTCCACTTCACGGACAACCTCCACAGGCACCTCGATGAGCTTCTCCACGATCCTGTCTACGGGTACTTCAACGAGCTTCTCGACTTCGCGGATGACCTCGACAGGAACCTCTTTGATGATCTCCTTCTCAATGATCTGGATGGTGGGCTCAATCGGATCGGTTTGTATCTCGGTTTCTGCCATCTCGCGACGCTCTGCAGCGCTCCAGTCCACGTCACCGAGCTCGTCGCCCAGACTTGTACCGGTGACCCGACGCAGGGGACTGGCACCGTGGAGCAGGGATGCAGGTCGAGATCCAGGAGGGGTGAGGGATGTCGCATACATTGGATCCATGCCCAGACTACCATTGACAGTGGTATTGTTAGGCGAAGGTGAAGTTGCTTCCAGCCGAGGCGGCTCGTCCAGCTCGATCGAAGGCGGGGAGGACGAAGTGAAGTCAGAAAGAAAGAGTTCTTGTACAGCGGCGCGAGATCTGCTTGCGCCAAATCCGGCTCCCCGTCCTCTCGTGCCAGTGCCACGCCGACCGCGAGAAGATCTACCGCGAGTGGAAGGAACACTGGTGTGCTCGTCAGCATCGGCTTCCTCCTCCCATTCCTCCTCTTGTTCGTACGCGGGTGCAGGGGGAACGAGAGAATCAGCGCTGCCTTTCTTGCCGACTTTTTGTCTGAGAGCAGATTGGCGAAGATGTGAATGTGAGAGCTGAGCGCGCATAACGTCCATTTTTGAGGACCGACCACTAGGAGTTCGAGGTTGGCTGAGGACCGAGGAAGCAAGTTCTGGGTCCTCTTCAGGCTCATATTCCTCTTCATCGGCCTCTTGAATATCCACGGTGGGCACCGAACCAAACGGAAGTGACTTGCGACCTTTGCTGGGAGCGAAAATGTCCACCTCAGGTTCCTCTTCATCCTCCTCCAAAACGGCGCTCTGATTTCGTAGAGAAGATCCACTGACAATGCGCATCCGCTTGCGTCTTTCCTCCTGAGAGCGCTCTTCTTCTAATACCTGGCGAAGATCGCTCTTCTCACGAGAGAGGCGGACTTGGTCAAGACGCCATTGGGCAGTGGCCTTCTCGTGCTGCGCCTGACGCTCTTCTAATTGCGTCTCGAGATTCTCCACGCTTGCCTTGAGGGTTTCGTTTTCGCCACGCGTGTGGGTCAGTTCACGCATGAGACGCTTCTCTTCGCTGGCCAAGCGGCGCGCTTCAGACGTGGCAGTTATCTCCTTTTGTGACGATTCCTGAAGCCGCATTTCGAGCTCCCAGTTCTCTTCCCGAAACTTCTCCGAGTTCTGCTCCAGCTTCTTGACCTGTTGTTTGAGCGCAAGAACTTCTTCATCCCGTTGTCGAGCAGCTTCTGTGGTTTCTGTGATGATCTTGTCGCGCTCCTGCAGCAAGGTCTGTAGTCGCCGAATTTCGATAATCAAAGAGTCTGAGATCTCAAGTGCGAACCCTATCATAGAGTCAGAGGTAATCGCGGGAGACGACGTATGGAAATTATCGTACCTGCATCCTCATTTCTGTGGGCAGCGTTCTTTGCTCTCCGCGATGACTGCGCAGCAGATGTGGCGCTGGTAGAGGGAGGAACGCCGGTCTGGTTTTCTAGGTAGTGTCGCGGAGTGGAGTCGAGACCATTGTCGGGACTCTCGAACATCTCCGTCTCGTCGATCGCTGGGTATGGTACAGATGAACCATCCGGGGCCTAATTATAGATGTATTTCAGTATTGCGAGCCCAACGTTGCGATCGGAACACGCACATCATGCTGCAGCTGGGAAAGTTCCTCCTCAATTTCCTTGTCCCACTTCTGCATCATATCCTGGATGTTCCTCAACTCTTCCTCCTCTCGTATGCCGGCTTTATCTCCATATGCGTATATCTCGTCTTCCTTGATTCGCGATACAAGAGCTTCCATAGCGAGCTGCTGATTCAAAACTGTTTGTCCAAGTCGACCAGCCCATTGCAGCTGTTGATCTTTCGCCTGTAGGTATCGTTCAGCGCGTTCGAGCAGCCTTCCGGCGGCATCGGTGCTGGGAGAGAAGACGTCGTCCTCGAGCGGAAGAGAGGTCATGGAAGGATTGTGAGAGGGAATGCCGGATCCGGAGCTCGGCGGGTGAGAGTGGCCGTTCATGGCCTATATAAAAAGGAGAGATGAAATGATAAATGAGAGGGGTTGAGGGAGAGTTGTCGACGATGATGAGCGGATAGCGATTTGTGTTCGGTCGCGTCTATGCAGCAAGGAGCGGAGGCAGAAAACACGTGCAGCCCGCACGTAAGGAGTCGTTTTGGCCGTAATGCTCTGTCACCGGAAACAACGCGGCTTCTCTGCTTTTCTCGGTGGAAAGATTCTTTGCTGATAGAAGCAATTATCAAGAACGGATCACTGGGAGGAGTTTCTTTGCAAGCACAAAGAAGTAGCCTGTCGAGTCGGGCGTCTGTGATCAGATAAGCGCTTCTGCTCGACGCTTGACGCGTCTATACTGCGACGCGACGCGTATGTCTCATCGGTGGAACGCGACATCTACTACAGCCTTGCAGACGACATTTGTGTCTTATTCTGTCAAGGCTCGCATATGACCTCAACCAGGGCGACCTGCTGGCATGCTCTAATCTGCCTTCGGATCAACAATCACCGGGTCTGTTGGTCTGTTGGTCTGTTGTAACAATGCACATTCCCTGGATGTTTCAATGAGGACCAATGACATTCTTCAAGAATCGAACCAGATCAATCGCGGTACACCGAAGACGGGAATGCCCGAGTATCGTTTTGAGACAGCATACGCGGCCAGCGCATTCATCAAGCTGCAACCTTCCCTGCCCCTCGAGTTCGACGCGGAAACACCCGTCCCTCTCAACGACGGCACAGCGGCACCAGCTCTGCTTCATTCCTGACACTCTGCACGACTTCAAGAACGTGCTGACATGCGAATCGGAGCATGCACTGCGCATTGACACCGCGATTAGATGAGATGTGTTGGCCCCATCGTTCGGCAAGATGCCATCCCTTTGACAGCGCGCTGAGGACGAATCAGCGCGGGAATGAACGATGAGACCAGAAGAACCCGACATCATCCCTAAGAATATGCACCGCATTGAATAATGTACACGCAATTCCTCCCCTTCCTTCCGATCGCGCCGGCTCAACGTGTAGCCGCACTCGAGATCGCACGACTGCCACGCGGTAACAACCTTCAGATTCTTGCATCTTCGCATGCACGCAGGCCACCAAGAACGACCCGACGGGTGGGAAAACAACGGGGGACTGCATTTAGAGGCACTACTAAGCTGTATCTACATAGCCAGGATCGAGCTTGATGATAGAGCCTGTGTAGATTAGAGAACGAGCACAGTCGACTTCTCAAACTGAAGGAAAGGAAATCTAATTCCGCGGCAACTTGTCATTAAAGGGACCTTCAGCAGAGGTTAACGTGCTTACTTAGAGGGCAAGGATCCCGAGGAGGCCAGTAAGACCAAGGGTGCCAAGGAGGCCGAGGACGGTGGTAAGAAGGCCGGTAACGAGGGTAAGAACACCAGGGACGAGGCCCTCAACGACCGTGAGGATGTTGGAGAGAGGATTGCTCAGGCCACTAGCCGCGCCAGTGACACCGGCAATGCCGGTCAAGCCGCTAAGAGCACCAGTCACAGTCTAGAAAGTGTCAAACGACTGATCAGTCATCCCGTGCGTGTCTCCACAGAACCTGTCACTCACAGAGATGAGGTCGCTGAGGACGGAGGCAATGGTGGAGGTGATGTCACCGAGCTGACGGGCATCAATCTCATCACGCTTGAGAACGTTCAAGAGAGACAGGCCAAGGGTGGTACCGGAAACGAGACTCTCGACCTGGCCGACGAGGGGCTCAACATCGGCGAGGGTAGCAGTGGCGGGGTCGAGGGCGGCTGAAGTTTTGAAATATCAATAACAGTCTATTCAACGTAGAAATAGTACTGACAAAGCTGGCTGACGACAGCGGCAACCTGGGTCTGCAGGTTCTGGACAGTCGAGAGCACCTGGGCGCTGACGTCGCGCTTGTCCACCTCACGCTCCTCAACAGGGGCGCCGCTGACCAAGAGGCCAAAGGTGAAGAGGGTGATGAAGAAAGCGATGAGGCGAGAGTACTGCATGTTTGTTGACTCTTGAGGGATCGAGAGGAGATCTGCTGGTGATTGGATCGACTGTGGTCTGGTCCTGGTGTTTCGAGAGTACAAATGGGCCAATATTTATACAAAATCGCCCTTACAGAAAGGACTTGGGATCAAGAGGTTTACCCACAGAGGTGACGTGATCCCGAGGAGATGCGGTGATCTTGACGACAGTCACCTACCTAAATGGCGTAGAAGCAACTGCACATCGACTCGAAAGTCGGCGACAAGAGCCAAATTGGAGTGGAATACCGAATCCAATTCCGGATAAGATCACTTCGTGCACAAAAAGTGCTTGAATTGTACGTCCAAGAGGAGAATCGAATAGAACACCGTTGACGACTGGCTCATCGCAGACCCTTAGACCACCGGAAAACAGAACCCCCGAGCACAGAGAACGAGGCTATCACAGAAGAAGGGGTTCGCCATCAGCGCAATTGTACCCGGAAGAAGCTCTTACAAGGAAAGAATGGATGTAGGACGGACATGTAACCATTCAATTCAGGTCACCTGCTCAGCGCTGGCGTACGAAAACATTGATTCGCGCGCTAGAAGAATGGTATCATCAGCTCACTTCAAGAATTACCAAGTAAGTGCTTAACTTCGTCAGAGATATGATCACCAGAATAGCCAGCAGCCGAGTGAGAAGGTCTATGATTGATAGTTGGACTGACCCCTAGGGGACCGCCATATACGGACTGGACAGCAGAGAACCCCATCAGCCCACTGAGCCCCAGTTAGAACGGGTTCTCAGCGCCCTCCAGATATTGTCATGCATATATAAACATCCACAGTGGAAGATCGTGTTGCATTTTCCTTGCTTGAGTGAACCAAGAAGAGGCCTGACATCGTCCAATTAAGCTTCCAAGCTCGGTGCTAGAAGCACTTTGCCCCGTAATTACAACGTGGTAATAGGATGTGATTTCGGAGCCGTGCCTATCCCCAGGGACCAGGAACAATCAATCACCCAGGAACAAAGTTATATTCTGTCCAGAAAGGTGAAGTCGCCGTTGGGTGTAAAGATACGATCGCTTGTGCAAGCCCGGCAGGAGGAGAACAAGAGAAAAGAAACGAAGGGAAGCACAGGCGATGACGTCGATTGCTGCCGGTGCCGCACGTGTGGCGTTTCCCTTCTCCGCGGTGTAAGGGTGTGGGACCCTCTCGAAGTCGGAGCCGTTTGCCAAAAGGATACCTTGAGCACCCTCTCAACTTTGTAAACCCTTGTTCTGACGTCGAAAGAGAAGGAGATTTCTAGAGGAGTCGTCATTCAAGCACAATAGCCGAAGTATGGGCGCGTGCTTACCTCCCAGGTGGTGTGATCGAGCCGCAACGTCGAGCGCCACACGGTAGGCAATTTCCCAAACTCTCGTGTCTTCAAGGTCAACATCCTGATCACCGGTGCGTGCTGACCCATTCCATAATCGTTGATAGTCCGCGGTGGCTTTGTTGCTGCTCACAGTACCACTGGCGTCAATTAAACCCACCTAGGGTCATTTGGGAGCCTCCTCAGGGTACTCAGGGAGGGGAGATACAGTACACCTCTTAGTTTCTGAAGGAGGGTGCCGGCCGTTTATCTCGGTCATCTTCGTTGGGATGGGGACCATTCGTCATCCGGGAGAATCAGCCGTGACCTGCCGAGACAACAGCCCTGAATTCATCCTCACCCAAGAGTACCAGCCCGTGACGCTGTCCAAGTATTCTACTCTCCTCTGACATCCATGGAAACACCGTGCTGTGCTGTGGTTCGTTTGCAAGAGCGCTTGCTGTTGAGTACGGGACGGAAACTGATCCCGGGCCGTAGCCAACACATACATACCTAGGCCTGATTTGTTGTATCGTACATGGTAATATATTTACCGTATGTCTGAAAAATTCGCCTCTTCCACGTGGCAGTCACTCTTTTCACATTGTGATTGCAGAGTACAAACACGCTCCTCATTTCACTTCGTTCAACGACGTCACAGGCTGGACCACCAGCGAGGCAAGCAGCAAAGCGCAGTCAGAGCAGCATCTCGATATCGAAGAGTATCATCCACGGAGCTTTTCGCAACTACAGTAAGCCAAAACTCTCGGGTACATAGACATTATGTATCATTGGACGTTCAGCTGGGCTAATATTGCAAGCTCCTAACGAGGCAACCACATCAGCTCACCTTATAACTGTGGCGTGACGGCCATTTTCACTAACTGTCACCTCCGGTTACCACGGACGTGAACGTATGCCGCTCGGTAGGATATCCTGGCGAGTTCATGGACTATTGCATCCTGATCATGGGCGACTTCTCACCCATACCCACTTTATACGGAACGATACCTTAGCCTAACCCAAGCAACCGCCCTTCATAGAGGGAGAACGTCGCATGAACGAACCGGCATTCAATGCCATTACAGTTGCGGATCAACAGTGTGGGTATCACATTCCCCCCACAACCCAACACATTCATACCGCTGGATATCTGCACAATCGGGGTGCCTGCACGTGGAGAATTGGGGACTCTGATGTCCTTATTTCAGCACGGACATAAACACTCCGCCTCGGCACTCCGCAACTCAATTCTGGTGACCTTAGACGTCCCCCTGACCCTAGACGGAACCTGCTATCGACTTGTGGGGATGGCTTTGTTGTACCATGAGGTCAAAGGTAAAGCACACCATCAGAGCTGAGATGCAAAGTACAATTTGACTTGTAGTGGTGCCATATTGACAAACAGGTATAATAATGCGGGAGGAATACAGCTAGGTGGAGTGTGTTCGTCATGAGAGGCTTGCCCCTCCTCTATACCTACACAGACGTTAGGTCTGTTCGATACTGTCTATAGCGACAGAGCAAATGCACGCACCCATATATACAGAGACATTGAACGATGCCCTGCGCTGGCAGGGCAGGTCGACTTCAATAGTAACCGAAGGACGACCTGCGAGAAGCAAGCCCTACTTGCCAGTGGTCCAACATATTCTCATTTCTTCGGCGGCGACTGTGTGCTTTTAGCCTCGGGATCCCAATTGTCCGAATTTGAACAAGTTCTCTTGCCACAGTCCTTGACCCGAGTATACGTCCCGTCCACGGTGCCGTATATACATTGAGTCACAGGCGACATGGGATGAAAAAAGGCTTGGGCGTAATAGGGAAATTCTAGAGCCTTGGAAGACGTAAACTCCATTTCTGTCAGCCATGTCAATCGGGAATGGATACGCCCAGATGTGCAAGTAATACCTGTAAAGTTTAGGTGAGGCTCACGCAGGGGACGAATGGGGCGACAAAGGATCTCAATACTTATAGGTGAATGAAAGGAAGGGTCAGTCTTGTGCGGTGATCCGGTACAGCCTGTCAACCAAAAAGGAAAGCGGCGGCATTCCTATATTTCGAGTGTGCCTTCGCTTCGTAGGTTCATCAACCGGCATAGCCTGATTTAGCTGGCGACTACGAGATGCTGACGTCGATGGTGGGCGACGTTGGGGTTTCCGATGAAAGAGAAGGAGTCAAAGCAGTCGATAGATTCTGACCGTAACAGTTGCCCGAAAGAGATTGTCATGCTGATACGAAGGAAGAGGAACTCGGGGAAAAGAATGGCATCTGTCAGCCTTCCTACCTTGTACCCACCAGGGTCACAAACTGAAAATGCTCCGGGCCCGAACCTCCGGGCCGAAACCGCACTTCGGGTTGAGATGCCATGAGCCTTGCCGCCTTCTTCCGCCGGTGCTCCGCCGACGGCCGGTGTGTTCATCGAAAACATCTTGTGAGCTCGGCCTAGATGCCGACAGTACTCTGAACACGTAACATTGTAGTGAGTTCTTTTGCAACATAAAACCGCACTAATGCCCGGGCATGAGGTGGGGGATATCATCCAGTCGTGATGGTGGACGGCGGGGACAAATGTGATGGAGACATTGCGTACGTAATAGGGATTTCGGCGGTGTTTGACCATTGTCGGAGGCAAACGTGGTCGATTAGATTACACAAATATATGGACGATCGGCCTTTGGTCGTTGCCGTCACATCCAACACGGCCTCCGCACAACCTAATCGACTCGGTGGCTCTTGTCAAATTGAACGGCCGGTCTAGACGGGCTTGAGTAAACAGATAGACTTTACTACAGGCATTTAGGACGCCGGGGACCCCACCGACCGTCGGTTCTCGTTCCTTATGCTTCTGGTTCCGGGAGCATATGTGTAAGAAAGACGTATATCAACAGCAACAGATCCGCAACAAGTGAAAATCAGCACGAGGGACCGTGAAGTACATGCCCATACATCCATGAGTCTTGGTGCACCTGGGCAAATACCCACATCTTTCCGGCGACAGTACAAATACCGCTCCGGTATTCATCCACATTCACTGGTAGGTGTAGCGAGGGTCTAGAACAACCTTTGCAGTCTGACAGGACGAATGTGGAATGCGGCGATCAAGTACCTGCCATACCAGAGGAAGGTAAGAAGAGTTATTGTTTTGGTAGGGCATTGTGTGGAAGATGGATGTATTCCTTCGTCATGCAATACTCGGCACTGCGAAGGATAGCCGCGTTCTTTTCTATCGTCGTGCTGTTTCCTAATTTAGTTGTTGGTATTGCCAGCATGCCAGCTCAGGATCTTTTGTTACCTTCTCGGATTCACATGTGATTGAGTATTTGCCGCGGTTCTTCGGAGTAGCTTCTCCTGCCATTTCCCAGGAAGCGGCCGAAGCCGTATCAGTCAGCTTATCGATGTGACGCATCCAAAAGACGAGTCAGCAAATCTCCTCGGGAATCCATGGTCGAGCCGCTTGCTGAGAACAACGGATAGCGGTGCTAGCACGATAAACTGCCTGAACAAAGATGAAAGACTGGATGAATGGAATGATGAGGTACGTTTCAGTTATGGTTGCGGGGCTATGAAGTGCATGGTCTAATTTGTCATCTAGCTCATGTACCACCGGGTTTACTTGATAAAGCAATAGCGCTAGTGCGGATACCATGATCCGCTATTCTAATCCAATTAGCACGGTCTCCATCAGAACAAGGAATATCACTTCACAGAATCTGTTCAGAGCAGACCCTGAGAAGGCCGATCAGTTGACCAATTGGGATTTATGCGGGATGCGGGCTTCTCTGTTCTACATAATTAGTATAGATACAGAACATCCCTGATCAATATCAGCAGACATGCTGCTGCTCCTTGTGTTCTTGCTACTAAGCATGTTGTAAGGGATACATAGATATCCCCATACTTACCATATACAGTAACACCACCTCTAGGGCAATCAGATTGTCCAATGGACTTACATGTAGCAGGTGGCTATAGGCCACCCTTTTCTCTTATCTCTCTTTAGTACACCCACATTGTATTACTACTAGATAGCAATACATTGGATTAGTGTACCTATTGGCAGTGAAAGGGCATTGTAAGCCCTTTCACTTTTTTACACTACTTGTATATTAGAGACTAGAACAAATACTGCTCTGTGTTAGATCTTGGTCTCCATATAATGGAGACCAACACAAAATGGTGGAACAGGAACATCCCTGGAAGACTGAGGTTGGTCCTAAAGCCTTGGGACCTGGGATTGTAGATACACCCACAACCGCGCAAGGCTTTTCAAGCTTTTCTGAGCCTGGGCAAAATGCAGATTGGAGTCCCCTTCAACTGGACCCAGCATACAGGGATCAGGCTGCTGGTCCCAGCGCTTCTAGGGAGTGAATGGAAACAGAGGATTCCAATATGCAATTGGACAAGGATAACTTGACTAACAATGCTTCCAATAGAAGCATAGGAAAGTTCATGGGACAGCCAATCCTAAATAGACCAAGTGGGTCTAATGTTGACTCCCGTAATGCGAGAATGGATTTGTCTGGTAACAGATGAAATAATCTTCATAATGATTTGTTAGAATCCAGGGAAGAGATGGATCCCTTCTCTGAGTTGAGCCAAATGCTCGAAATTGCTGACATTTCTCAGCACTTGATTATGCAATATCATCTGCTTGTGAACTGCAATCCGGGTAATGCTTGTATGTACAATGAGATGGGCAAGCAATTGCTTTCTGTCCAATTGAACAGAATGGCTCCTATTATTGAGCCAAGAGAAAGTTTGCCCACTGGATTGGGAATACAAACACTGCCCAGCTCACCATGTTCATGACTCCCATTGAGGGAAGATGAACCTAGAGTGGGTTCAGAAAGAGCATCTGTAAAGGACGATGCAGTTACTGAAGAGGTTCATTTGAGAAGTCCTCCACATATGGAAATGAGGAAAGAGTCCTCATCATATGTTCATTTCAATATGAATCAAACTGGTCCATATGTACTGAAATTTCCATTTGGAGATTCCACTAGTGGTTCTTATCAACAGAACCAAAAGTCCACATTGCACAAATCTGCACCATCCTTTACATTGAGGAGTAAGACCAATCTTCTTGCAGGATCAACAATCCCAACAACTCCTATGTGGAGGATCAAGAAGTGGTTACATGCAGCAACTGTGCCGGTAACCAATCATCTTCTCCCATCAAAGACTGGGTTCAAGCCTAAGGCTTTGGACACCTCTTATGGAGGTGAATCTGATGTAGAGAAATTCATAGAATTTCTCACAACATTAATTCAAGTGTTTCATGCAGCTGGGGCAACTGGCCTGACTTGCAGTGATTGGCAAATCACTTATACCAGTCAATACATGACTGGAGAAGCTCACCATTGGGTCAATCAAAATATAGATTTAGGCCACTGGCCTAGAGAAGAGTGGACATTCTCCCAAATGATGTGGGGAATGTATGGAAGGTTCTTCTCTTTGGAAGAAATGATGAAAGCATATTCTGCTTTCAATTCCTTGGTACAAGGAAAAGACACTAGAAGTGTACAAGGGAAATTTATTTTCCATTATGGGTAGGTGTTAGGGCAACACAGGCTGACTAAGTCTGCTCACCTAAGAGTGCCAAGAGTCTAAGCAGGCAACAAGGAAGTGGAGTAGACCTGATGACTAAGACCTATCTACAGTATAGGTACTTGTGGATGATCCTAAGAGACCAAGTCTGAAGAGACAGTCCCCAGGCAGAGTAGGCCTTATATTTATACCTCTGTGGTGGAACCTGCTAGAACATCTTGCTTACTCAGCCTAGTCAGGTGATCAGGTCATATGACCAAGGATGAGGTCATATGAGGTCATGCACAGCCATGCACAGCAGGTCACCTGACCATCCAATCCTTCCAGCAGGTTCCAGCACATGCCAAGGTATACCAGCTACTTCCATGTCATAAAGGCTTAGTCATGTCTCTTGACCAAGCAATGAGCTGGTG